AAAAAAAAAAAAAAAAAAAAAAAAAAAAAAAAATTAGCATTATTTGAGTATCTGGTATGACTCTTTTAGTAATGTATTGAAAAAGAGATGAAAGGAATTTTAGGTTAGTCAGCTGGGTTAAATCAGTAATGGCACATTTCTTTTAAAAACCTCAAAATACTGAGAGACACCAAACTATTGGAATGCAAAAACAAATAACTTTTATTTTATATAACTTTTATTTTGGTTGCTTTGAAAAAAAAAATGTACTCACTAAGAATAGGTAAGAGTATAGAATTTTTGGGTGCAGAAAATTATAAAGTTTCTTACAAGCAGACTTGAGTCTAGAGACAGAGACATAAGTGCCAATATACTTTCTCCTGATTTTTAAATCAAATATACAGCAAATATGTTCCACTAAAAATATTCATGATAGTATCACAACTCAATTTACAATTATGAACTATCGAAGTAAGAAATTTGCAAATTTACACATGTATGTAAGTATCATTTTACCAATTACAGGTCCATGCTAAGAGCTAAGCAGTGCTTAGAAGACCTTTAACATAATTACAAGTACCTCATCACCTGTTTATTTTTCCACTTTTTATTTCATTCATTTCAGCTATCCCAAAAACAAGGAAATTCTGAAAAGAGCCAAATTCACATTTTAGAAGGTTTTTTTTATGATTGTAAAACCAGAAGAATTTAATAAAAGAAAGCAGAAAGAAAAAGTGTCAACAACAGACATTTTCCATGGTTTAAGTAATTGGGACTGTCGGAAGATAAACCATTTTTTAAACCTACCATTATACCTACATCTTACTCTGTGGATACTGTATGTGTCTTTTTATATTCTGATCACCGTATCTCTGTCTTTGTTGCCACTATCCTAAACTTCAGTCCCTATAACTACTGCCAATCCATGTTTTCATTATTCTTTGAATTTACATTGCAGCATTGTTCCGTTAAAAAAAGGTTACTCTAAGCATGATTTTATATATAATATAATCAACTTTCCATTTGGATTTCATATGTTTTTGAGACTCTCTTGCAAACTACTGCAAAATTTAAATGTTCTTGCAAAGTTGCTGCAAATTAGCAGCAATACAATTTTTTCTTGCAAACTCCTTGCTGCAAACTCTTAGCAAGCAGCAAATTTACTGCTTATTTGCTGCTATTTTTTTTATTTTGCTAAGGGAATTACTTTATTCATCTTGATCAAAAACACCTAAAATTCACAATTCAAATCCATTTGCTGCCCTGAGATAATTTTTTAGGTAAAGTAGTGACTCAATCTTTTCAATGGCCAAAATTATGAAACTTTCATATACATCATTTTTATAACCGAAAAATTACATTTCTGTAAAGCACTTTTGTGGTGCTTTTACTGCAAAGAAAAGAACTATAGAGTAACCTGCTATTTAATGTTGTTTCTTCTGCTCAATAGGAATGTTTCAGTACTAAGAAATTATGACATAAAAAAAATTCACAATTTTCCTCCATTGTAAGGATGGAGTAATTACTGTATTAACTACATAGGTATATGTGTAATTAGGTTTATCTATGAGCTGTGTTAAAGCAGGGCCATTTCCTACAAGGGACTAAAAACAGACCCATAGCTGGAGGGGGGGAGGGGAGGGGTAGGGGCTGAAAAGAACCACCTCTTTTGCTGGGAAAAGGTCCTCTCTGGGTAAAATTAGATCTTGACACATGAAGTTTTTATGTTTTAAAAAAGGCCCACTTTTTCAGAAAAAAAGCCCCCCCCCCCCCCCCGACCTTTGGGACTGCTGGCTACGAGCCTGGAAAAGATAAGCAGAAGACTTCCTGGATAAATCAATTGCACTTCACTTGCTGACAATAACAATTAAAAACATTAACACATCAGATTTTACAGGATGTATATGAGACAAATTTTGAATAATAAATTTTATTCTAGAAGTAAAATGTCAAAGGAATTATATTAAGGCAAAAAAAAAAAAATGGTACATGCAACACCCATGATGCCAATGCCCCTTAAAAACTCCATCAATCTACAACAACAAAAATTTCTTTCAAACAGTTTCTTTAAAATGAAAAGAAAAAACCCAGATCCAGTAGATAAGCAAAGAATATCACTTTTCTTTTTGGTTGAAGATGACATTAAGTGGCATATGCACAATTACTCCTCCCTTTAGGAAACATCCACTTAGCAAAAGGCAAACAACTCAGAAAGGTTGTCTTTGCNCATTAAGTGGCATATGCACAATTACTCCTCCCTTTAGGAAACATCCACTTAGCAAAAGGCAAACAACTCAGAAAGGTTGTCTTTGCCTGCTGCTCTTCATTCTCTCCATTGATTAGATGGAAGTCGTTTTACACCCAGACTCTTTGTTCCTTGGAGCTGGATTTTAATTGAAGTCAGCCATTACTGCTAATGAAGTAAAAAGGTCTGTATGATTGATACACACACACTGAGGGTATTACATTAATCGTACGTTGGCGACTTCTTTCGCATCCTCCGAAGCTTCAGGTGATCCACAAAGGTGTCACAAGCATGAAAGCTTTTAGCAGTAAATTGTCAGCAATTTATCAGCATGTGCACTAAAGTGATGGAGTTTGTCTTCACTCATAGATCATGGAAAAAAATAAAACTTGACAATATTACAATTTCAAATCAGAATGTAGTGAGAAAAAGTTTTTTCCACTTGCCAACAGTGACTGTCTGCTTCAATTATACCAAAATGCAAATAACATTTCCCATTTTTTTCTTTTTAAAAAATGAAAGAAAAAAAATGTTTCCAAGATAAAACAAGTAGTTTTCCCAGGTTCATATCCTCTTTCCAATAATATATATATATAATAAGTGATTGTGATTGTACAGCAGGATCTCTAGCAGAGAGATTGTACATGATTGTCTTGGTTGTCTTAGGCATTTTCCTCTTTGAAAAGTACCGTGGATCAATGTAGCCACAAATGGGCTTGGTACCCCTAATAACTTTAGCTCAAAACTTTGTCTAAACATTAAGACCAATTTTTTAGTGTGTGTGAAATTGACCCCAAGTCTTCTTTATGTGTTCAATTGTGCAAATAGACTTGTGAAGATTCTTTTTGTCTGTAGCTTCTTATATTTGCTCTTACTTTTATGTTTGTAAAGTTTTAGCAACAAGAGGAAACAAATCAAACCATTGTTACTGCTCTTAGTGTGAGTTGGGAAAGATTAATTCTCATTTTTCAAGAAAAATCTTGTAGACTTTTTCTATGATGAATATGAAAGTTGCTATAGTAGCATCAACAGAATAAGTGTTATTATAGAAACATGTAAACACCAGAGCACAGTTTCTTCAAATGTGTTAGGAGAGACTTGTCCACAGAAAAACTACTCTCCACTGAACACAATCATGTGCACCAGTTCACTTTAGCTGAGGTCTTGATCCTTTTTGAGTGGTACATTAAACTACAGCGGGATCTCTAGAAGAGAGGTCTGAATTGTGGGGTTTTGTATAATTATACAGCTGAGCATCTGGAATTAGTCATTAATACATAACATATCATGGACAGTGTTACTTATAATCGCCCTCACATAGAAATACAAATGTATTATTTGGGGAAGAACATGTTCTGCTCGACCATCTCAAATCCCGCAAGAGTCAATGAAACAATCATGTACAAGTCTACTAACCTCTGTGGTTAGTGAATAGACATTTTTAAGTCTACTGTGAACTAGGTTAAAGGAATGCAATTTGTCCTGTTGACAAAATGTAAGAAATGACCAAAGGAAGTTTTATTATTTACAGAGAATCATTGTCAGAGGGCTAAAAATATTATTCTGAACATCTTTCTACAAATAACATATCTGCTCATCTGAAGGCTCTATAATTGTTGCTCAGTGTATATACCTCTCACTTTTTACTGCTGCACTATTAAAAGTGGTCAATGGTCATTTTTTCCTTCTTGATGGCATTCCTTTCATATGACACTCTGCATCCAAAAGCTTTTTATCCACTGGTCACTCAGACTTAACAGACCTCAGAAAAATTACTAGTCACATTCAAATTTAACTAGCCTGGGGATGAAATCTATAGACAATAGAAAAAATTATTGAAAGCAACCTCTGAAATTATTACTACAGTTTGACCAAACTTGTAACTTTGAAAAATTACATTGCCCTCTCTGAGTCATTTTCTGGTCTTTTCTGGTCTTTCATGTTTTAACAATCATGGACAGTCATGTAGGACTCGAACTGAAACAAATCTATAACAGAACTAACAACAGATACGCGTATCCATAATAAGGTGCCATAGCAGAATTGCAACTCTCCTTTTACTAGTATTTTTCTCATTATCTCATTTTCTCATTATCATTACGTGCTATTCTACACAAAGAAGACTTTTATCACACCTTGACAATCCCATAAATCAGGAGAGAGTTTTGGCGGCTGCCTGTATTGTGTAGACAATAACTGCTAGGTGTTTCTTCACCTCCTCCCACTGTTCCTCTGGTCCGTTTTCGTCCAGTCCATACATCAGGTCACTGAGACCAGGGAAAGAGCTGGCTGCGTATATGTTCTTACTGCTTGGTGCAAATATGATGTGCCTGCAAATAAGGGTTGTATTAGATATTTATGCTTAGTTCATCTCATTAAATAAATAGATAATTTTGGGAGGAAAATGTGTTCTTTAGCATAAGTTGCCTTGTTTAACATTACTCACATCTAAACAACAGCAACTTCTATTCTGGACAAGTGCTTTTTTGCAAGTTTTTCACCCTTAATTTGGTACACCAGGAAACAGTTTCATAAAATAATCAGATAACTGGGCCATAACTGAAACACATTTACAGGTCTTTAACAAATTTGCCATTTGTGATCTCAAGCCTCTAAAGGATGAGTGCGAATAAGGGGGTAAAAGTGCCCACTTTTGTACATGAAAAATAAATTGTGAATGAATGAAAAAAAATTGATGCCAAATTAAAGTTGGGGTCTTACACTTTTATGATCCACATAAAAAAATATTTTTTATTGAATTTGAAATATAAAAAATTAATAGCAAAATGACCTTGTCAAATATTCATGAAAATGTGTGTTTTAGGGGAGGTCTGAATTGTAATGCTACATATCTTTAGTTATAGTAAGGTGACAACTGTGAAATTTTGTAATTGGGTACAGAAGGTGCCAGTGTAAAAAACAAAGGCAATAAGTGGCCAATCACTGCTTGTGATCAATATTTTGATTGCTTTATTCTTAAATGTAGTGCTGATTGAAAGAAGAATCTTACAGTGACTTGAGGATAAAAGATGTTCATTTTTTATATGAGCCCCTGCCTCAGACAAGCTAATTATTCACGGTTGAAAAGATATGAATATAAGGTGAGATATATGTGAAAATCAGCTTGTCTGAGGGTTGGGCTCGATATGTACTCAAACTAAATAGGGACATTTTCAGTCCATATGCTAGCAGGCGGCCATGTTTATTCCTGCCATGAGGTAGTTGCTACATGCTTACATAGGATGGCTAGGCAGATACAGTGAAACTTTTGTACAAAAAGAACAACCCAAAATGAAATGTAGGTCTTTGAAAGAAAAATAG